AGAGTGTGTGAACGAAGCCAATAAATTGTGTTTTTGAAGCAAACAGATTTTGTTTGAAGTATATCGCTTGCATCTAAAGTCAATTAAGAATAGAATGTTTTAAGCCGTAAAACGTTTAATATCAAAATATTCTTACAAGTGCGGCCAGTAACCAGGCCTTACCACACTGGAGGAAAGTAGAAATAGGGGGGGGGGACATGATAACAGCATACAAGATCCTAAGGGAAAATTAAATAATAGACAAAGTAGCGTTGTTCAGCGCTAGGAACGAGGAGGTATAGATGGAAACTAGAGACACAAATGAGCCACAGAGACGTCAGGAAGAATTTCTTTTTCAGTGTCAGAGCTGCCGATAAATTGAATAGTTAGACGTACAAGTCCTTGAAGCGCATTTGATTTAATATTTTAAGTGTAAATATGATAAAAGCGAGAGACAAAGAGTCACCGCATTAATCAGAGAACGTTCGGAAGGCGGGATTATGAGTCTAGCTCGACTCTGAAAGCATATAAAGGTGCGTAAATCTAATTAAGTGAGTACATCTAGGTGAGTACATCTAGGTGAGCACATCTAGGTGAGTACATCTAGGTGAGTACATCTAGGTGAGCACATCTAGGTGAGAATATCTAGGTGAGTACATCTAGGTGAGTACATCTAGGTGAACACATCTAGGTGAGTACATTTAGGTGAGTACATCTAGGTGACTACTTGTAGGTGAGAACATCTCGGTGAGTACATCTAGGTGAGTACATCTAGGTGAGCACATCTAGGTGAGAACATCTAGGTGGGTACATCTAGGTGAGCACATCTAGGTGAGAACAACTAGGTGAGTACATCTAGGTGAGTACACATACACACACACCTTCAGTTTGGGATGTGAGGTTCGTGTAATGAGATAGTTCCCGGGGAGGAAAGATTTGCTTCTCTCTCCCTCGTCTTATTAAGATGGTGAGTAAGACGAGAGGGGAGGGGGAAGCGGAAATGCAAAGCCTCCATCTCCCCAACCACACTCCTGCAAGTGGGAAGGGTGGGAAGAGAGAGAGAGAGAGAGAGAGAGAGAGAGAGAGAGAGAGAGAGAGAGAGAGAGAGAGAGAGAGAGAGAGAGAGAGAGAGAGAGAGAGAGAGAGAGAGAGAGAGAGAGAGAGAGAGAGAGAGAGCACTAGTTAGAAAGACATATAACAACATTTACAGCATCATGGGGGAAGATATATTACACATCAAAATGCCGCCGTGAGGGAAACAATGGTGAGGAGACCCCGCAACACATCGTAAACAACAATGGCTGAATCTCTAGTAAGGATGACACAGATGCGTTCTTCGACACCCGCTTTCCCTTACCTCTCCCTCCGTCCCTCCTGTCCCTGCCAGCCATCCTGGGCCGGAGAAGGACGGCCGGCCAAAGTCAGCAGGCCGGCGTCAGATCCGTCAACCAGGCTGTTGGACGCGTCTGCTCGCAGTCTGACGTATGAGTCACAGCCTAGTTGATCAGATATTCTTTTGACGTGTTTATCGAGTTCTCTCTTGAACACTGTGAGGGGTCGGCCAGTTATGTCCCTTATGTGTAGTGGGAGCGTGTTGAACAGTCTCGGGCCTCTGATGTTGATAGTTCTCTCTCAGAGTACCTGTTGCACCTCTGCTCTTCCACGGGGGTATTCTGCACATCCTGCCATGCCTTCTGGTCTCATGTGGTGTTATATCTATGTGCAGGTTTGGGACCAGCCCCACTAATATTTTCCACGTGTAAATTATTATATATCTCTCCCGCCTGCGCTCAAGAGAATGCAGGTTTAGGCTCTTTAGTCGGTCCCAATAGTTTAGATGTTTTACTGAGTGCATTTCAGCAGTAAAGGCTCTCTGCACGCTCTCCAGGTCAGCAATTTATCCAACTTTGAAAGCTCGCCTGCATCTAGTGACACTCTTGCGTGTCTGCATGCATCTTTATGACTTCTGTCACTCATTCTCTGTTCTTTTTGTCTAATTACGACTAAGGCTCATTAGGAATTGTGCTAATGATTCCACTGAAAGCTTACAGCTGTTGTCTTGTATGAGCTGATCTGGATCCTGACGCTAAAAAAAAAGTTATTTTATAGGAATGAATGATTGAGGATGAAGTGAAGTTGTTGGGGGAAGGCTCAGCCAGCGATTACCACCTTCTTATCTTGGAATCATCCAGTGTCTGATGAGCATTAGAGCTGCTCATCTGGTGGTTCCATCTTAATACTGAATGATGATACCCCCTAGAGGTGGAATTTCCTTACATTAGCCCCCACCTCCTCGCCTTGATCACTGTAAACCTGCGTCAGTGAGCCACTGTATGTCTGAGTAACAGCTTCACTGTACCTTTGTTGAACAACGATCACTGTATCACACTGTAACTGTACATGAGCATCGTTATCACTGTATATCAGCATCACTGTATTATTATATAGCTGCAACCTCCTAAGAGCACCATTGTATATATCACTATATCACCCTGTCACCATATTATAACGCCCTGGCCACAGGGTTATTTACCCATGGAACCGCCTACCCGCTAAGGCCCTACATGCCAAGACTGTTGAACTTCCAAATCCAACTGAAAAAGATTATCAAAGCAAATGGAGGAGGAGGGGGACCTTCAACAAGCTGTCGACTTCCTGTCCTCGTCGAGGCCACTAGCACTGCCTCGTATCAATGCATTGATTTATCACTACATCATTTTATTACTGCATATCCATGGCTGTATTAATAGATCACTGTTAATCATTGCACTAACCATACCCAGCCAATTATTAGCCAGATCCAACAGGTGTTAAGCCAAGTGATACGCACATTATCATCCCTGGTGCCGCACCATCAGCCAACACAGCGTCACTGAATCGTGTGTCTACATATATTCCGGTAACCATTTATTAAAAAAAAACATGTTTTCTAATTATTCAAGAGTTACCCATCCAATTTTGTTTGTTTATACTTTTGAACCATTTTCTATTATCAAAACTAGAGAAAATGGTTGGGCTATAACTATTATATATTGTTTAAGCTAACATTTTTATTTTTGTATGGAATTGTTTGGTTATGACTGCAGCATATATGCTTGTTGCTTGGTTAGTTAGCAACGTGGCGGCCTTAATAACCCTCCAAAGGCTGATTGGCCTTAAGTCCAATACCAATGCTAGTTCAAGTACGTCACAGCTAACGTGATTGGATAAGCCAAGAAGGTGACGTCACTATAGCTGCTTGCCATTAGCAAAGGAACGTTGATCCCCCCTGAATGACGGTACAAGTTTATGACGTGGCCGTGACGTCAGAAAAGCTAATGACGTATCCGTGACGTTATCAAAAGCTCCGTGACGTCATCACAAGATCATATGACGCAAAAGTCTGGTTTTTGACTCGGCAAGTCAAGGTCACTTGGACGGCAGGGCACTGCACTCCTGTCTAATTGTACCGTCCGTCTCGCTGTGTACCGTCCACCTTCTCTATATAGGACTACGGTCCACGTCGCCTTCAACTGTTTAACCCCAGTCGTAACGCAACGGTTGATAGCTGTACCGTTGTACCGTTATTCCGTTATCCGTTATCCCACGGCTGTGTATCTGAACTGTTGTACCGCCGTTAGCCTCGACGTTCTTGTTGTTGTTCAAGATTCGCTACTTGGAATAAACAGTTCCAAGTAGCACGGGCTATGGTGAGCCCGTAGGACCGTTTACTCCACTGACACTTACTTTAGACCTCACCTGAAAGAGCGAGATGGGCAGCAAGACGAGACTTGAACAAGTCTTGGACAAAACGCGGACAAGATATTTGCAAGAACTTTCAGAAAGAATTCTACCCGAGACATCTAACTGGACCAAACGAGGACAAGGACATAAACAACAGGACAAAAAGGCTGGACATAACTTAATGGACGAAACAAGCAGGATTTACCGAGCAGGACAGAACCAGGACATAACTTGCAGGACAAAAGAAGCGAGACAAGCCAAGCAGGACCTAACTTGCAGGACAAAAGAAGCGAGACAAGCCAAGCAGGACCTAACTTGCAGGACAAAATAACATGGACATAACTAGGACAAAACAACAGGACATAATCAGCAGAAGTAATACATAACAAATTAAATACGAAGTTTTAGGAGGAAAAAACATGAAGAAACTGATTGAACAAAACTAGAAGAAAGACAGAACATTAGAACAAATCTAGAACAAAACTAGACACGATCAGGACAAAGCTAGAACCATAGTTAATCAATGTTTGGTCAATAATATTTACAATTAAACTAGAAAAAAATACAAATCTTAAAAACTGTGGAAAAAATAATCAATACAAGAACAATGACTTGAATTAAAAGTTGAACAAATACGTGAGATGGGTCTCACCATCTCAGTCTTTCCTTATAGCTCAATCCCTTCAACTCCGGAACGAGTCTCGTTGGGCTAATCTTATCTACCTAACCTAACCTAACCTAACCTTATAGCTCAATCCCTTCAACTCCGGAACGAGTCTCGTTGGGCTAATCTTATCTACCTAACCTAATCCACGTATACCTAATCTTTAGGCTAACGTACCCTAACCTATCCTGGTTATACCTTAGCGGAAATAAAGAGACTACAACTAGGTGAGTACCATATGTTGTTCTCACCTAGTTGTGCTTGAGCGGAAGGTTGAGCTTAGGCTCTGTGGTCCCGCCTCTCAATCAAGTTGGTTGTACGTCATATATGGTGTGGACGAGGTGTGACGTCACAGTGACGTCATAATATGCCGATACAGGTTGTAGCTTCTTCAGGAGTGGTGAGGGTCCCTCTAGTGGTTGTGCGCATGCGCCTGAGTGTGCGCTAGCTGGGTCCTCCAGGGGTTGTGCGCATGCGCATTGGGGCCGAGGCACGCTGAAGGTCACAGATTGCCCTCTGCACAACTACCTCTACCCACATATCCGTCTATCCTTTTCTCTTCCTCTTACAGTTCCCATTGACCCTCCCATTAGTCTACCTGTCCCGTGCCTCTACCCGTCCACCGCCCCGTCACCTGCCGTCACAAAACCGAACCCCGAACCGCTAGCGGAATGTGATATTGGGAGATAATAATTTCGTGAATCATTATACATCACCACTTTTTTAAGCGGTGTTGCCGCTGCCTCTCTTCCCTCTCCCATCTCTCTCTCTCCTCTCTCTCTCTCTCGGTTATATGAACTAAGGACATATTTCCCCCCACCCGGGACTATACCCTCCCATACACCATCCCGCAGTCTTGTGAAGCTTGCGAGTGAGTGTCGTCGCTGGAGGAGGAGGAGTCGTTCGGTGCCGCTCTCCAAGACCACGCAGGTAGGAGACTTAATTCCTTTCAATCTTCCTTGAATTCCCTGGAATGGGTTTTTAGTCAGTCTCGTGTCACACGAAATATTTCCTAACGTTAGGCAGGAGACCCAGTGAACGGGTCTGTTAGGTCAGTCTATCGCCTAGTGAGTAGGTCTGTTAGGTCAGTTTATCGCCTAGTGAGTAGGTCTGTTAGGTCAGTTTATCGCCTAGTGAGTAGGTCTGTTAGGTCAGTCTATCGCCCAGTGAGTAGGTCTGTTAGGTCAGTCTATCGCTCAGTGAGTAGGTCTGTTAGGTCAGTCTATCGCTCAGTGAGTAGGTCTGTTAGGTCAGTCTATCGCTCAGTGAGTAGGTCTGTTAGATCAGTCTATCGGCAAGTGAGCAGGTCTGTTAATTCAATCTATCGCCCAGTGTGTTAAGTCAATCTATTGCTAGTATGTTAAGCTAATCTATCGCCCAGCGAGCAGGTCTCTTAACCCAATCTATCGCTCGCTTCTCATACCATGAGCTATGCATAAATACGTAGGAGTATATATTCAGTAGGCCTACCATATATTCTCAAGATCATATATACACAGTAGGCCTAACATATATTCTCAAGGTCATATATACAGTAGGCCTACCATATATTCTCAAGGTCATATATACATAGTAGGCCTACCATATATACTCAGGCTCATATATACAGTAGGCCTACTCATCTTTTCTATATTGTGCATCTCTCCACGTATATAGCTTATACCAGTGACCAGTGTCCAATAAAATAGGTAATTTGAAATGAGATTATATATAAATGGGTGTCCCATTTAGTAAATACACTAAATGGGGCACCCGGGGTAGCTGTCACTCCCCCCCCCCCCCCCCCGCCAAACCCCCCACCCCCCAACCCTTTCACACTCCTCCCCTCTCTCACCTTATCTGCCTTTCTCCCTCTCTCCTCCCCTTTCATCAAACATCCCCGTCTCTTATCCTAACCCTATCTCCTCTCTCCCTTTCATTCCCACCTCTCTCTCTCTCTCTCTCTCTCTCTCTCTCTCTCTCTCTCTCTCTCTCTCTCTCTCTCTCTCTCTCTCTCTCTCTGAAAATGCCATATTTCGAAGTACTGAAAAATTGCTAAAAGCCTCTACGCAAAACTCATCTTCGTTTTCAGATATCATGAAAATTGCAGGGAGGGGACGGGGGTTGCTATAGATACATATATTTCTTAAAGTGTGGCACTTGGGGCCCTACCCTGACTGGCGTATGCCACATCTCCTCTCCAGTGTGTTTATGCTGGAAAGTTAGGTGAGGCAAGCCCCAAGCCTTCTACTCTGGACAGGCAGACGGACAGATATAATCTCCTACATATATATTCTCCATTATATACATTATATATATATATATATATATATATACATATATATACATATATATACATATATATATATATATATATATATATATATATATATATATATATATATATATATATATATATATATATATATATATATATATATATTTGCCTTTATTGCCCCCCCCCCCCCAGTATGCCGTTGGGACGGGAGAGTAGGGGGAGAGCCTTTTACTGATCTGTTTGATGTTTGGTTTTCCTAGTTTGGCCTGATATGAATTATTTGAGAGGGTTAATAAGTCTACTTTCTTCAACATATAATCTCAAGAATGGCCCAGAAGGTCTCCTGCTTGGAGACTGTGAGAGAACCCGTCTCACAGAACATGCATGACTCCACAACCACATAAAGCATGTCTTAATTCTTAATTAGATCTCTCTCTCTCTCTCTCTCTCTCTCTCTCTCTCTCTCTCTCTCTCTCTCTCTCTCTCTCTCTCTCTCTCTCTCTCTCTCTCTCTCTCTCTCTCTCCCTCTCTCCCTCTCTCTCTCTCTCTCTCTCTCATTTCTTTCTTCATCGCTACCACCGAGACTATGAAGGGAAGGACCTCTTATCTTAAGACATCAGGGACACCACCACCACCATTGTTCCAACTCTCCCACACACACGTACGTACGTACGTTATATGTCAAAGAGTACTGGGAAGACGGGACACCACGAGCCTAGCTCTCAGCCTGTAACTACACTTAGGTAATTACACTTAGGTAATTACACACAAAAGCTTAAGATAAAATCCTTCAGGAATCAGAGAAAGAGAAAAGACCTGGAGATTAATATCACGCCAGACCTGTCCTCTGAAGCCCACATCAAGATGATATCATCAGGAGCGTATGCCAGGTTGGCCAACATAAAAACGGCTTTAGAAACTTATGTACGGAATCATTTATAACCATGTACACCACATATGTCAGACCTATCCTGGAGAATGCAGCACCAGCGTGAAGTCTAAATCTAGTCAAGCACAAGACTAAATGGGAGAATACTTAAGGTATGCCACCAGACTACTACCCGAGCTGAAGGGTTTGAGCTACGAGGAATGACTACGGGAACTAAACCTCACGTTGCTGAAAGAAAGAAGAGTTAGGAGAGATATGACCACCACATACAAGATTCTCAGGGAATTTGATATTGTAGATAAAGACATATTATTTAATACGGGTGGTACTCGCACAAGGGAACACAGGTGGAAACTGAGTGGCCAAATGAGCCACAGAGACATTATAAAACACTCTTTCAGTGTCAGAGTAGTTAACAGTTTGAATGCAATAGGCAGTGATATGATGGAGACTGACTCCATGCACTGTTTGAAATGTAGATACAATAGAGCCTAATAGGTTCAGAACTCTGTACAAAAAGTTTAGTGACGGTTGAGAGGCGGGACCAAAGAGCCTAAGCTCAAGCCCCCGCAAGCAAAATTAGGTGAGTACACGTACAGGCGCGCACACGAGCACGGACGCTCACTCGCGCACACGTAACTAGTTTGCGCGGGCAACTGCTCAGAAGAACGGGGCGTAGTGGCGGCTCGTGTGTCTCCAGGGGCAGGTTAATGTGCACTTCGACCGCTCGTCAACACAACGTCTATATCAATACAGATCCAGGATTTCATTTCTCGTTGTCGAGTGCTGAGGTTAGTTTGTGGAGCGCCCAGACAAGTTTGTCGAGTACCCAGACAAGTTTGTCGAGTACCCAGACAAGTTTGTCGAGTACCCAGACAAGTTTGTCGAGCGCCCAGACTAGCTTGTCGAGCGCCCAGACTAGCTTGTCGAGCGCCCAATCAAGTTTGTCGAGCGCCCAGACAAGTTTGTCGAGCGCCCAGAGAAGTTTGTCGAGCGCCCAGTCCAATTTGTCGAGTGTTGAGGCTACCATAATAATTAAATGTGCTTCAGAAACTTTACAAATCCCGAGTTGGTTGGCAAATGATTTTCATGAAGCAAATTGAAAGAATCAAAAAAGTAAAAAAAAACAAACAAACAGGGATACGACGCACATTACTCTCAGAAACCCCTCAGAACATGCAGATATTTCTGTCTGTGAAGCCCCTCAGAACATGCAGATATTTCTGTCTGTGAAACCCCTCAGAACATGCAGATATTTCTGTCTGTGAAACCCCTCAGAACATGCAGATATTTCTGTCTGTGAAACCCCTCAGAACATGCAGATATTTCTGTCTGTGAAACCCCTCAGAACATGCAGATATTTCTGTCTGTGAAACCCCTCAGAACATGCAGATATTTCTGTCTGTGAAGCCCCTCAGAACATGCAGATATTTCTGTCTGTGAAGCCCCTCAGAACATGCAGATATTACTGTCTGTGAAGCCCCTCAGAACATGCAGATATTACTGTCTGTGAAGCCCCTCAGAACATGCAGATATTACTGTCTGTGAAGCCCCTCAGAACATGCAGATATTACTGTCTGTGAAGCCCCTCAGAACATGCAGATATTACTGTCTGTGAAGCCCCTCAGAACATGCAGATATTGCTGTCTGTGAAGCCCCTCAGAACATGCAGATATTACTGTCTGTGAAGCCCCTCAGAACATGCAGATATTACTGTCTGTGAAGCCCCTCAGAACATGCAGATCTTACTGTCTGTGAAGCCCCTCAGAACATGCAGATATTTCTGTCTGTGAAGCCCCTCAGAACATGCAGATATTTCTGTCTGTGAAGCCCCTCAGAACATGCAGATATTACTGTCTGTGAAGCCCCTCAGAACATGCAGATATTTCTGTCTGTGAAGCCCCTCAGAACATGCAGATATTTCTGTCTGTGAAGCCCCTCAGAACATGCAGATATTTCTGTCTGTGAAGCCCCTCAGAACATGCAGATATTACTGTCTGTGAAGCCCCTCAGAACATGCAGATATTGCTGTCTGTGAAGGCCCTCAGAACATGCAGATCTTACTGTCTGTGAAGCCCCTCAGAACATGCAGATATTGCTGTCTGTGAAGCCCCTCAGAACATGCAGATCTTACTGTCTGTGAAGCCCCTCAGAACATGCAGATCTTGCTGTCTGTGAAGGCCCTCAGAACATGCAGATCTTACTGTCTGTGAAGCCCCTCAGAACATGCAGATATTGCTGTCTGTGAAGCCCCTCAGAACATGCAGATCTTACTGTCTGTGAAAGCGAAGAAACGTTCAAGGGGGGTCACCACTCTTGAAGCCAACGTTCCAATGTTTGTCAAAACGTTGGAACTGCTTTAAAATCATAAGCAAACTTCAGACTCCTGACTCATTTCTCTGAATACAAGCACTAAACCAATCAGCTTCGCCGATTTCTACCGCTCTTCGGCCTTCAGGAATATATGATCTTTTTCCTCACTATGAGAAGTGTTTCTCTTGTTTTGCTGGCGGGCGTTGAGCTCCGGCTCTTGGCTCCCGCCTCGCAGACCTTAATCGTTTTCATTTCAGGACTCATTCACCTTCAGTAATAGAACTGGGTAAATACTTTAGGCACTTAACCATGTTCTGGTATGGTAGATCTCCCATGTATAGTATGGTAGATCTCTCATGTATGGTATGGTAGATCTCTCATGTATAGTATGGTAGATCTCCCATGTATAGTATGGTAGATCTCTCATGTATGGTATGGTAGATCTCCCATGTATAGTATGGTAGATCTCTCATGTATAGTATGGTAGATCTCCCATGTATAGTATGGTAGATCTCTCATGTATGGTATGGTAGATCTCTCATGTATGGTATGGTAGATCTCTCATGTATGGTATGGTAGATCTCTCATGTATGGTATGGTAGATCTCTCATGTATGGTATGGTAGATCTCTCATGTATAGTATGGTAGATCTCCCATGTATGGTATGGTAGATCTCCCATGTATAGTATGGTAGATCTCCCATGTATAATATGGTAGATCTCTCATGGATGGTATGGCAGATCTCCCATGTATAGTATGGTAGATCTCCCATGTATAGTATGGTAGATCTCTCATGGATGGTATGGCAGATCTCCCATGTATAGTATGGTAGATCTCCCATGTATGGTATGGTAGATCTCTCATGTATGGTATGGTAGATCTCTCATGTATGGTATGGTAGATCTCTCATGGATGGTATGGTAGATCTCTCATGGATGGTATGGTAGATCTCTCATGTATGGTATGGTAGATCTCTCATGTATGGTGTGGTAGATCTCTCATGTATGGTATGGTAGATCTTTCTTGTATGGTATGGTAGATCTCTCGTGTATAGTATGGTAGATCTCCCATGTATGGTATGGTAGCTCTCCCATGTATAGTACGATAGCTCATATCAGAACTTTCAAAATGCCGAGAGAGATGTAACATTAGCAACAAAATTATTTGTTCAAAGATGTTTAAATGAACAAATTTTGAGTTCACAGACTCAAGTTGCCAAGTTATCTTAAAAAAAAATGGAAATCGAAAATGTTCTGTTTCCTAGAAAGCAAAACACTTGTGGAACACTGAACCTGTTGAAGCCTGATGCGACTTGTTCAAGGGGGATCGAACTGGAATCAAGCAACAGTGAATACCAGCATTATGCTCACTTTAATAAGACTATCAAAATCCTCAGATTAGGCAAAATTGTAATTAATTTTGTCAATAAAGATGTTAATAATAATAAGTAAGGTTGTAACTCCGGGAGAGGTGTTGTCGTGACCAATAAAAACAGCAACAGGGATGCAAATGTCCATCAATCAATTACAACTTTATTCATAAATGTTCGTTTAATTCATTTATAGTTGGGTTAATTTACACAAGTTTACAGTCAACTATTTACCAAAGAGAAAGTCATAATAATAATAACATGAATTTTATGTAGTTATAAACTATATACTCAAGAATTAGAGTTAGGAATTATATTTTTTCAATGATTTTAAAATCATTAGAGTTGTAACTAATTAACCAATGAAATCCCAGCACTTGGGACTCGAACCAACGTCCTAAAAAAATTTAAAAAGTAACACAGTTATGAGTCCGTCCGAACTTACACGCATTTTCTCACACACACACATCTCACAGTATTGTATTTTTTATTTATTTGTTTCTGTTTTATTTGACGGGAACGTTTATTCCCCCCCCCCCAGAGGAAGAGTAAGGCGTGAGGTATCAGTACCAGGCATAGGGTATCAGGTATAGGGTATCAGGTATAGGGTATCAGGTATAGGGTAACAGGTATAGGGGTATCAGGTATAGGGTAACAGGTATAGGGTAACAGGTATAGGGGTATCAGGTATAGGGTATCAGGTATAGGGTATCAGGTATAGGGTAACAGGTATAGGGTATCAGGTATAGGGTATCAGGTATAGGGGTAACAGGTATAGGGGTATCAGGTATAGGGTATCAGGTATAGGGTATCAGGTATAGGGTATCAGGTATAGGGTAACAGGTATAGGGTATCAGGTATAGGGTATCAGGTATAGGGGTAACAGGTATAGGGGTATCAGGTATAGGGTATCAGCTCAGTGCCTCCACCATACCCCTGGTGAGATTGGCCGGACTTCAGGTTAGGCTACTATGAGTATATAGTGGTCCTCTGGTGCGGTTTTGGGGTGATCCAGAACGAGGAGGGTTCGATTCCACCGTCATGCTCCTCAAAAGATTTTCTCTCAAAGTTTATTACGAAACATATATGAATTGAGAGCTCCCGGACATCTTGAACAAAAAAAAAAATGGAAACTCCCTGGAATAGCTTTCTTTTTGACAATTTACGTTCGTATGCACATTTACAATAATTAAAAACGGGGACTGGTAAATTTATGCAACATAGCTCAACCAAGTTTATTATATTTTTATTTATTTAATTACGGTTGAAAACTGAGATATGTCTTCGCAAAGGATTTGTGGAGGAGTAGAGTCCAATCTCTCCGTCTCTCTCAGAAATATATTTTGTTAAGAATCATTGCAAAATAAGAATGATAACTGTGAACCCGAGGCCCAATAGCTAACGCACAGTAACGATGGCACAGTAAGGTGAATATCTTCCCTAATTAACGAACAACAACCCATGCACCTGCGGATGAGCCAATAAACGCATTCCACATTATTGTTGTTCAAGATTCAGCTACCGGGGAACAAAAAGTTCCAAGTAGCACGGGCTATGGTGAGCCCCTAGTGGACTTACCCGGCACAGGAGCGGGGCTGGCTGTAACTGCGCATTCCACGTGATGAGCGACATTTTTAACTACCATCTGACCCTCTACTTGCAGGTGTGGAAACGATGTCTCGGCCGGTAAGCCTGGAGGCAGACGTGGGGAAGATCCTGTGGGCGGTGTCTGCGGCGCTCTTCTGCTGCCTCTGCGGGCTGTGGGCGCTGCGTGCCTTCATAAACCTCCCGCCGGGACCCTGGGGACTTCCTGTGGTAGGAAGTCAACCTCTCCAGCTCATTTGTATTACAGGACCATGTGCGAAAATAACCCCCCCCCCCCCACGTATGTAAACACGCACGCAAAACACACACACACACACACACACACACACACACACACACACACACACACACACACACACACACACACACACACACACAGCCAAGTAGGCTCAGGAATCTGTACAACATTTGATTGACAGTTGAGAGGCGGGACCAAAGAGCCAAAGCTCAACCCCCGCAAGCACAACTAGGTGAATAAACGTACAAAATAGACGCATACTCAAAGAAATACTATGTCCCAGATATACACACATATATGTATACACATATACACAGATAAGCACCTAGGCTCAAGGTTCCAGAGGAAACATTAGGATGGTTCACTCGGATCTTCATTATCCCGCCTTTCAGGTGATGGAACGTCATTCTAAATGTTTCCTATCAGCTTGGTTTGTTCAAGTAAATGAAGAGGTAACTTTCAAGAGGAAGCGTCAAGCCATTGTGACTATATAGCACCTGGAAGAGGTCAGGATAAGGATTACGAATGGGACTGGGGAAACGAATTGACGCGTTTAAGTGTGTGTGTGTGTGTGTGTGTGTGTGTGTGTGTGTGTGTGTGTGTGTGTGTGTGTGTGTGTGTGTGGGTTCCTTCCCGACTCATAATCGGGAAATCCGGGTTCGAGTCCAGGGATGGACAAAAAATGTGAGGCGCATTCCCGATCACCTTCAACAGGCCTCTGTTCGCCTAGCAGTAAATAGGTACCCAAGAGTTAGTCGGCTTGTTGTGGGGTTCCATCCTGGGCAGGGTCAGTCATACGAACTTCGGGGGGGATGGTGGGGGGGCCTCTCTCTATATATATATATACGTCTAACATGTATATTTAGCACATGACACGAATTATATACACTGGCTGTCTGTCCCCCGACAAAATGAAATATGTGTTTGCAGGGTGAGTAGATGTAAATAAAGTAGTAGAAGTAAAAAAGTGAGTAGAAGTAGTGAGTAGTGAGTGAGTAGTAGTGAGTAGAAGTAGTAGAAGTAAATAAAGTGAGTAGAAGTAAATAGATGTAACCCATATATTACATCTATTTACCACTCACCATTAACCTCTCAAGTCACTTATTTGTCGCGAGTTTCAATCTAAGAATTCTCTCTTATTGCTATTCGTCTCTTTCAGCGTCGAATCTCTCTATTGCGTCAGCGTCCTACACTATACTGCTCCAGATATAAGCCGTTACAACACCAATGGACGACAATCTATCCACCTCAAACACACCATTTTGACTTTAACCATTCCACTAAAATACGGTAATATTCCAGGTTGGATATTTACCATGGTTGAACCCTCGAACCCCGCACTTGACAATGGTGAGGCTGGTGGAGCGATATGGCCGCCTCTTCAGCCTCAGGATGGGAGGAGTGTTGGTGGTGGTGATGGCTGACCCGCACACCATACGCGAGGTTCTCGCTCAGAGGTCAACCACTGGGAGGGCACCACTCTTCCTCACACACGGGATCATGAAGGGATACGGTAAGTCGCTATTAAACGCACCACTGTTGATCGTATCACATATTTCAATGCATCAATGCATTGGACAATGTCTACCATGTTAGATTAGTTAGCCCTTCTTAATGTTCGTTTTCTTCAAATGTTTGCTATTATAGAGTATGAATCTTCTATCGGTAACTGCGCTTAATATTCAGACGCTCAACTCTACAGATCAGAGTTTGTGTTTAATTGATATATTCTAGCATAACCACTAGGTTTGTTTGATCATCCCACGTGTCATACCTTTCAAGTGTTTTTTTTTTTTTTGTATTTACGAAGAGCGTGACGTAATGAAGGGGTGGGGATTGGGGGGGGGGCAAAGGAAAGCATCCCGTCTTTCTGTCGAGTAGGAATGATCACCTTAACCTCTCCAGCGGGTCCCGGTAGTACAGGTCTGGTTCGTTCTCAACTCACAATCGAGAATTCCGGGTTCGAATCCCGGGAGGGACAGGAAATGGTTGGGCGAGCTTCTTATCACCTAATGCACCTGTCCACCTGGCAGTAAACAGGTACCCAAGGGCTAGTCAGCTTGTTGTGAAGTTGCATGTTGGGGAAGGTCAATAATTCGACCCTGGGGGAGGGGGGTACCTCGATATATGCCTAATATTTACTTTATATATAAACTGGCTGCCTGTCCCCCGACACAATGAATTAATTACAAGTGAGAGGACCAGAGACTGAACCCTGGAACGTGTAAGAAGACTGGGCAGCGTTTCTTGACTCTTGTACACCCCTGTTCACACAGCAGTAATCTAACACCTGGCTGTAAATCGAGTGCCGGGTCTAGTGCTGTGTAAAACATCTCGCTACAAGAACTCAACTGGCCCCCCCAGCTACTACCCCCAATGCCTAAAATAACATTGTAATTTTTGTTTTCTCCCAAACATACAATTACGTCTGGTGGCCCAAATGAGGCACATTAGTCGAGTGGACGGACGGACGACTCCGGACGGACGGACGGACGGACGGACGGACGAATCAAAACAAATTACAAGTGTTTATAATGGTTCGTTAATTCTTACCCCTTGTCAGTTCTAATTGTGTGGAGCACCGTGGTTATGGCTACAGAGGTGGAAGGGGGCGGCCTTGGTCTTGCTCAGTTGCATCTTCGTGTGTGTGTGTGTGTCTTCATGATGGGTTATATCATACATAAAGTGGCATCCACACACACACACACACACACACACACACACACACACACACACACACACACACACACACACACATAAAGTCCTTCATTCTGCGCAACGAGTAACTTATTTGTGAGAGAAAGATGCCTCTGGCGAGGCGGCCTCACGCGACCAGGCGCGACAAACACCACAATGTGAATTCTGAGTTGGAAGTCAGTACGTTTTTCCTGGTACTTGTGTCTGTTTGTTGACGGTACTCCAGCCTGTCTGTTGACGGTACTCCAGCCTGTCTGTTGACGGTACTCCAGCCTGTCTGTTGACGGTACTCCAGCCTGTCTGTTGACGGTACTCCAGCCTGTCTGTTGACAGTACTCCAGCCTGTCTGTTGACGGTACTCCAGCCTGTCTGTTGACAGTACTCCAGCCTGTCTGTTGACGGTACTCCAGCCTGTCTGTTGACGGTACTCCAGCCTGTCTGTTGACAGTACTCCAGCCTGTCTGTTGACGGTACTCCAGCCTGTCTGTTGACGGTACTCCAGCCTGTCTGTTGACGGTACTCCAGCCTGTCTGTTGACGGTACTCCAGCCTGTCTGTTGACGGTACTCCAGCCTGTCTGTTGAGTCAACATGGTCCCGTTGACATCAAAAACTCTCCTTTGACGTCAACAACAGAAACAAATCTAATTTATCAACAGTACAATGTATCGCCAAACAGATACAAGTACACTTTTTTCTTTTTCAAAAGTACAAATACCATAACTAATTATTTTACAAGTACAAGAGCAGACTCATCTTCCATTTAGAGAACACCTTATATTGTTTTTAACTTAATGCGATGGCAAATTCTATATCTTAATTGCAAATGTTGGTAGTGTACCCTCCTGGCGCTATATAGCCTTGGAGAGTGTGTGTGTGTGTGTAGGGATTGGTCAACAGGAGTTTGTGGTCACGTTAAAAATAGCAAGTAAGGGTTGTCCCATTATCAGCTACAAAACACGTGGGGGGCTCGGTCAATAAGCTCTTGTCTATTTCCTGTTTGGGTACGAATGCCAAGCTCAGAGAGAGAGAGAGAGAGAGAGAGAGAGAGAGAGAGAGAGAGAGAGAGAGATTAGGAGCAGTGAGGGGAGAGAATCCGGGAGGAGAAAGGGAGAAAGAGACAGAGAGGGAGGTAGGAAGTTGAAGAAAGACGGAGGACTGGAAAGAGAGAAATAAAAGCAAGTAATGCGTGGCAAGTTACGAAGGTTATCATAGTAACACGACCCCAACAATACGACCCCAGCCACACGACCCCAACAACACGACCCCAACAACACGACCCCAACAACACGACCCCAGCCATACGACCCCAACAACACGACCCCAACAACACGACCCCAACAACACGACCCCAACAACACGACCCCAGCCATACGACCCCAACAACACGACCCCAGCCACACGACCCCAACAACACGACCCCAACAACACGACCCCAACAACACGACCCCAACAACACGACCCCAACAACACGACCCCTGCAACACGACCCCTGCAACACCCCAAACAGCCATGGTCCTACAGGTACTTAATGGAAAAATCACAAAGCCAACATTTACCGACTGACACTGCGAGAGCTCCTCGAGGCACTGAACACCGTAAACCGTTGAACAAAATACCAGTTAAGAATATCAGAGAGCTTTAAGAATACCACAGCGTTCTCTCAGAGAACGGTAAGAATAGCGGGGTTTTGCCAATGTCAACCTTTTGACCATTTCAAACCCCTATTTGGATCGTCTTGAAGTGATAGTAAGGCTTCTTCCGTGTTTATGTCCCTCCCTTATTTTCGTATCGTCGGCCAATTTGCAAATATTGCTGCTAATGTCTGAATCTAAATCATTTATAAATATTATGAATGACAGAGGTCCCAGGATAGCGCCTTGAGGAACTCCTTTTACAACATTTTCCCACTCTGACTTAAGACCATTTATACTGTTTCTTTTGGTTTAGCCATGCCCTAATCCAACTTAATTTAGCACACCCCCCCCCCCCCAACACCATGAGCCTCTATCTTTTTAATTAATCTTTCATGTGGCACTGTATCAAAAGCTTTGCTAAAGTCAAGGTACACAACGTCCACTATCAACTGTTTCAACTATGCTGGAATAGAATGAAAGAAATTTTGTTAAATATGAGCCATATTATAACCATATTCTGAATCATTTATTAATCATTTTTTTCAAGATGAAGACGAATGGCATTTGCTATTATTGTTTCAAATAATTTGTTCCACAATAGACGTTAAGCTAATTGGCCGACAGTTAGACGCAAGTGGTCTGTCTCCTTAAAAAATTATGCTACATTAGCAACTCTCCACGACTCAAATGATTTATTAAATATGGCAGACAACAGCTCGTAAAGCTTTACATTCTTTAAGCACTCTGGTAAACACTTCGTCTTGGGATTTATCTTAAGTTTCCTATTTGTTTAATAAGATTCTCCCGGGTAACTTTTCCCCACCAATATGCACTTCTTCGGCTGAGGGCATAATGTTAAGGTCTTCTTTAGTAAATACAGAGATAAAATTACACACACAGAAATCACAATAGCGTGATGCATCAGTGACCAAATCTAAGTCGTAGCTCAGTCAATTAAGGCAGCGTTTGGGATGATCTCGGACGTAGGGTCGAATCCTCGTCACGACCCCTTGTGGATTTGTTCAGAGATAAAATATTTATTTACAATACTACTCATTTTTGTCATCAATTATCTGACCTGAAGGACAGGTCCGTTTTTTAAGGGACGTTTTTGTCCCTCCTTTATTTTCCTTTCCCTAATCTTTCCTAATCTCCTTTCCCTAATCTTAGTCCAATATAACTGGAAGAAAACCTATTCAGTATTTGTCGTTGCTTGTCCTGCTGTACGAACTTCCCACTTTCTCATTTTACCACGAATTTCATTTTCTAAACAAAATGAAAAAAAAATCTCTGACCAACTTAAATTACGATAAATCATGAGTGTCAATAAGTCCAAAAACAATCAAAGAATTTGAGGGGCCTTAAGAGATGGTTTACAATCGCTCGAGAGATGACTTAACCCAACAAACACACAACGTGACTGTAACGACGGTTTTATTATTATTATTATTAAGTGAACAAATCCATAAGGGCCGTGATGAGGGTTCGAACCTCATCACGGCCCTTGTGGATTTGTTCATTTGATGCCTCACGCTATTGTGAGTTTTGTGTGTAATTAGTGTTATTATTAATTTTAAGTTGGAATGTTGTAAACGTTGTGCTTAGGGTTGTGAAGTTGCTGGTACTCCTATACCAGTGACCTGAAGTTGTTATTATTTTTTTTTTGGGGGGGGGGCAGTTGATGTTAGTCTATTCTCACTACTGCCTCCAATATCCCCATTTATATACATTTTACTTTTGAGGATTATCCGACGATACCTGGGGGTCTATCTACCCCTTCCTTCCCTCTCTCTCAATCTCTAAATATCTCCCTCCATCTCCATATCTCTATCTTTATATCTATCAATATCTGTAACTAGCTATCTGTACCTCTTTCCTATCCATCTCTTATGTTAAACTCAGTAATAACTGTATCACAACTTCTATATAAAAATGGCTCTTTAAACATCCTGAAAGATACAGTGTACACTGAATATTTATTCCACTAAAATCAACTCAAGAAGGCAACTTGACCTTGAAGTCAGTGTGTGAAGGAGATACAAGAATTATTCTTCAAACCGGCCAGTCTTGTGACCTTTTGTACACAAGACCTTTGAAGCAGTACAGTGCTAGCCCACAAAGGTCGCTGTGTACTTGGGTCGATGGTCTGCGTGAGTACAAGGTAATGAGCGTCTTTCTCGG